CCAGATTGCTGCTTCTGCCACCCTCCTTTGCCAAATATTGGATCCTACCTTAAATATAGGAATACTTAATTAAAGGAAATTTGCCTAGACTAGAACCTGAAGATCAAGGAGTTTTAGAAGAGGATATTAAACCAGAAGAGATACTGGATGTAATTAAGTCTCTCAGAAATTGTAAATCTCCAAGCCTGGATGGGTTTCCTCCAGAGTTTTTTACAAATATTTTAGAACAAAATTAGTGCACTCATTATCAGCAGCTTTTAATGAGATACTGAAGGAGAAAAAGATTCCTTATACTTGGAGAGAAGCACATATTAGTGTAATCCCAGAACTAAATAAGGGTCTATGTATCTGTGTCTTGTATAGACTTATATCTTTATTAATTAAGATGCAAAAAATTTTAAACTGTTTAGAGTAAGAAAATACTCCCTAAATATATTAATAAAGACCAAACAGCGTTCATAATGAATAGGCAGTTGACTGATAACATCCATAGAGTCTTAGATCTGATTTTTCATGCAGAATTAACTAATGAACCCCACATTTTTATCATTAGATGCTGAAAAAGCTTGATTGTGTCAATTGGCAGGTTTTTTTAAAAAAAAGCCTTAGATACTTTTGCACGCAGTATTATACATTTTGTACAGTTATTCAAAGTAAGTATATTTAGCTCTTTTGAAGAAATGAAATGTACTACAAGTGAAGTTAACATTCCATTTTCCCAATACCTGCAATAGAGACAATTTTAAATACACTCCCAGGAATGGTAAACCTCAGTAGAAATCTGACAGAATTTGAGAAAATTTTGGTCACGCGTATGAAGCGTACAGGTCTTGTGTCTGTTTATAGAAAGCAATTTTAAATACCCATATAAAAGACAAAACACTGTTTATTATAAAGTGGGCTAATGACATTGGACCAGAAATTAGTGCTGAAGAACAGGATCATCTGCAACAACGGTCCTCACATCCATTTGCACAAAGATAAAAGAAAAATATTTTAAATTCTATATTGATGGTATCTCACCCCACTTAAAATTAAATGCATTTATGGTATAAGAGCAAGAAATTTTGGAGTGAATGTAATTAGTGGGGAGTTTGTACCACGTGTGGTGGGCACATCCCAGAATTAAACTGTTTTGGAAGAAGGTTGGAGACATGGTGAGGGAAATAACAGGAAGTCAGTTATCAGATAAATCTCTAGTGTTCCTATTGAATCTCCATGAGAACTCTGAAACATAGAAGTGTCATAGGGAATTTATCACTCACCTTCTGGTGACCACAAGAATTAAAATTGTGAAAGCCTAGAAGAGAAGTGACACCCCTAAAATCACTGACTGGGTTCAAAAAGTTTGGGAACTTTTAGTAATGGAAAAGTTAGTGTTCTAACAGGGAAGAGGACAAAAACATACTTACTTGGAAATCTCATGGACATTTTGCTAAGAAAGAGTCTTCTGCCTCCAAACCAGAACATCTGAGAAATGCTTTTGAATACTGATGTACACGTTCCATAAGCTAATAATTAAGAATAAATTCAGAATAAATTTAAAATTAAAAAAGCAGAGATTACTGAAAGTTTGATGCTCCCAAATTCCATTAGGTCTCTTGCATTGTTTCCTGTCAAATTCATCTCCAAACTGTACACACACAAAAGAGATCTTCTGTTTTCCTCGTTAGAGTCCTTTGCATTACAGGAAGCAATGCTGGTTGGGTAAATAGGAGAACATGAGTTCAGTTTTTGCCTCTTCCACTGTTGGTGCTTTCTGTGCACTTCACTGCAAGTACTAGACAAGGCCTCAATGTTTATGAAGGAGGCAGGTACCATTTCCACAGTTTTGTAATCAGGGTCAGAGGATCAAGAGATATTGAAGAACGCCACATCTGGCAAAGCAGGGAATGGGATGTCACTCTGTAATACAACAGACTCAACATGCATCCACTTAGCCACTCTGGCTCTTGGAAAGGGTTCACTGTATCTATGTGCTTGGCCATACTGTATGTAAAACAAAGCTGCTTCACCTACGTCCCCACCACCTTTCTAGAACACCGTGGGACCCAGAAATGAATGAGCACTATGTAAATGCAAGGCATTTAAAAAATAATAATTTGATGCCCATTCTGATTATCAGGGCTGAGTTTCCTACGTAGCAGAGGCCATAGACTTTCCCTTGGCTATGAGTCCAATCCAACAATTTGTGGTTAAATTACAGCATCTCTTTTAGAAAGACACATAGACTGAATGTCAGGGCTCCTTGCGGGAAATTTACCTCATGCCTTAGTAACTTCCTCAAGTGGTTAATTATTCCCACTCTTAAAATGTGTTGCTTATTTCCAGTTCATACTTTGCTGGCTTCAACTTTTAGCCTGCAGATTTTTTCCTGTACCTCTGTCTGCTAAATTAAAAAACCCTCTAGTATCAGGTTTCTTCTCGCTGTAAGTAAATGTGAACTGTGATCTTAGCTACCTCTTAATCTTCTGTTTGGTTAACGAACTAGACCAGTCCCTTTTGTCTGTTGCTGTACGATTTGGAAGTATCTGAAGCCCCAAGCAGGGGTAGAGGATGCTTGCCGGTAGTAGGGTTACATGTGGTTCTCAAATGACTCGCACGGATTTGGAATTGATTTGGCTGATCTGACAAAAAGATTTCCTTAAAAAAAAAAAAAATCTGTTTTCCAGATGACAAATCTTTTGGCTATATTAAGGAAAATCCAATTTTTCAAAAGCCTTTCTAAAGTGTGGACTTACTGTTCAAACTGTAGTCTCATTAAGCCCATAAGTGAAGGTAATAGTTTCTCTTTGCTTTTGCTTAATATTCCCTTTTAGTATAGGTCCAAGTATTGTGCTTGATCTTTTTTGTCTCTTCATCTTACTTGGAGATCATGGTCAGTTACCTTAGATGTTCACTCTGACCCCAAAGTCCTGTTCAGTTACTGCTTTCCAACATACTATCCACCTCCTGGAATTAAAGCCTATATACAGTTCCTTGTTCCTAATGTATGGGCTTGCATTTGACTGTCAGAATGCATGCTGCTAAGTTTAACAGGCCAGATAAATAAGGGTGCATGACCTCTCATAATTATTTACCATCTCACTCATCCTTGTCTCATCTGCTAGTTTAATTGCAATTATTGTTTATTTTTTCTAGGTCTGTGATATTAAGTAGCATTGTGCAAAATGAAAGCCTCTAAGGGCCTCCCATTTGTTACTACTTCCTCCTTAATTATTATGTCTTCAGACCTACAAGTTAGCCAGTCTGAAGTCAATTTAATACAGCGGTTGGCAGCTGTGGTCCATGGACAGGAACTGATCCATGGACGTGGGGGTCTAGCAACTGGATTGACCCAATTTGGTGCTACGACCCAGCTTCCTCTGCCACTGCTTTTCTCAGCAGTTGCACAGGGAAAGAGCCTGGCACTTTTCTCCATAGTGTCATGGGGAACATGTCTGCAGCTGATGGCCTTTCCTACAGTGGTGGGAGGCTTTGGCAGCAGCTGCTTTTCCCTGTCACTGATGGGACACGGGCTGTGAACTCTCTCTATGTGCTGCTGCTGCTGGGAAAAGTGATGGTAGTGTTTGGGTCCTGGTGCTTACCTACCAGCACTGGCCTACCTCTGACTCAGACTGGGTCAATCTGGCCCTCAGCCAGCCTCTGATTTAACACATACCTTGCTGGTTCTGTACAATCTATTCTGCTTTAAACAGAACAATGTGCTGACTTCACAAAAGTCAAATTCACTGACTTCACAGAAGTCAAAATATATCAACACAGTTACCTTTATCAACTGGCATTTTACTTTTGTCAAAGAATACTGTTGAGTTTGTTTGACAAAACTCATTTTCCATGAAAACGTGTTGGCTGACATGGATGGTATTTCTGTTCATTGTTATCTTGAATTGGCCATTTCATTATTTTGTCCACGATCAGTGTTAGGCTAATTGATGTGGATTTAGCAGTCATCCCATGTAAGTCTAAATTTTGCCATTACACTGTCTTGTTTTCTAGTCCTTTGAAACTTTCCCAGTTTTCCAAGCCACATCAAAAATTAACATCAACAGGTCAGAGAATGCCCTGTCAGATTATTTTAAAACGCTTGGATGCAAATTATCCGAACTAGGAGAGTTTAATTTTGGTATAAGCTGTCTTTGTTGGTTTTGCTAAAATACAGCTGATACTAAACATAACAGCCCTCGAAGAGGAATAATAATATTTAATTCAAATATATTGCTGAATGAATACCCACAAACTTAAGACTTCACGTTTAATATTGGTTTGAAAAGCCTGTGTTAGGGAATGAAGTCTAGGGATGTCCTTTTGCTCACAATTCCTTTCAGATATTCAGATCTTCCCTGAAGACTACAAACAGCTTCCAAATTCAGATGTGTGTAGATGTGTATAAACTCCCTTGCACAGGGTAGATTTGAAAACAACATTTAGAAATATATGTGTAGTTAGCATTATTCATCATTAATGGGTCACTGTGATCAAAGCTGCTTGCATATTTTTATAGAATCTTTATATATAATATGAGCTAGAATCAGAGTACAACCACGCTGGCATTCATGGGTAACGAATCTGCATCTGCCATAGATTTCCTGCCTCTTCTTATGCAAGCCTTTTAAATCTGTCAGAGCACCGATTCCTGTAAACAGGTCCTATGTGTAACACAACAGGACCTGGTCTCAGCTGAATCAGTAGTTGTTACTGTAATAATAATAATAAGCAACACATTTACCTGTCTTTTCTATATAGTACCTTTCATACTTGGGACTTTGTCCAGTTGCTTACTATTTTGCCAGGGATAGTAAATAATGTGATGCCAATAAACAAAGCATTACTGCATTTTCTTTGCTGATCTAGCAGATGTTTTCATTCCCTAGATTCTGCAGCCAATCACGTTTCTGATTCTCCCAGCCTTCTGTACTATCGATAGGCTGCCTATGTGTAAGTTAACACTCATGCTTTCACTTTATTAATAACTGACTTCCTTTTTTTGTATTTTTAAGGTACTGCACAGATGAAAATCAAACATTTCCTCAGCCATTCATGCTGGAAAATCACATCAGCCTCATGCATGGCATTAAAAATCCAGACCTATCCCAGATGTCCAAAGCAAAAGCTCCAGAGAGAAACTCAACAGAAGTAATTAACATATTATTTTTACTGAAAAATAAGTGTGTTGGATATGTGTCTATATTTAGGGGGATTATGTAGAGTGACTTCCTTAGATGCCAGGACACAGTGATAGGTAAATGTAGGTATATTGTCTAGTATGCAGAATGGGTCAGAAAATAGCTGTAAGTACTGTGCCTAAACTGAAACTTAAGAGTTAGGAGGGAAAATGTAATCCTGTTCATCATGTTGTACATGAAAAATCAGATGCGCCTTGAGGGCTGATACTTTTTCTGTTGGGACTTTGCCAAAAGGCATTTGTTTTTTTCTACTGAGTTTGTTAAAGTCTTTTTAGCTGCTTTTAAAAATGAACACAAGTTGGGGACAATTAACATACTTTTCCAAACCCTACAGATATCGACATTTGCTTTTTTGTTTTTGTTTTTAGTCCCACCTTAGAAATGACTGCAGCTTAAATTCATTACAAATTAATTATTTGTGTTATGTCATTACCTAAGGGGAAAAACCAGGATTCATCCCCCATTTTACTATGTATTATATACACGTAGAATGAGATTGGTCCCTACCATACAGAGCTTAAAATCTAAACGGACAAGACAGACCAAAGGTTGGGTAGAATGGTTGTAAGATACCAGCAGACTGAATAGACTGCAGGCCTCCAAATGGCATGTGAGTTCCATGAATATTTTATTGATTTCTTTTTATTAATTTTGTGAATGGGAGTTGATTAGCTGAAAGGACCAATAAAGGGGAAGAAGAAAGAAACATCAAAGAGAAGGGAGGGTGGGATGGTGGATGATGCGAGTTAAAGTGCGGAGGCTGTGAGGAAAGCAGGACACACATGTAGTAAAAAGCCCATCTGCAGAAGACGATATCCAGAGTAGCAACTGAAAAGCCTTGAGAAACTGATGATATCACATTCAAGTCCCTGCTCACTTGCCTTAGTTTGCTGCCTCTGGCTAATATTTTGGGTGACCTTTCCCAGTTCATTTTCCCCTGAAGATCACAGGACTGAGGAAAAGAATGAGTCTAGTAGGCATTCAGTGTAACTAAATCTCTACCTTTTTCCATCAGTCTGTCATCTTCTGCTTCTTTCCCTCCCCAGTCCAGGTATTCATCAGATGGGATTGTTTCATGGTTTACAGTCTTGCTGAAAGCCACCCTTGTTACTTCTTTCAGCCACCAAAATCCTCATTCATGCCTTGATCTTTCTTCAGCTATCACAGCCTCCTCTATGTTCTTCCTGCCTCTTGCCCACCATCCATCCAATGTGCCATCAAACATGTTCATGTTATTTACTGTTTCAAACAGTTTTTCATTAGCTACTTCAAATCCTTCTTTGCCCCTCTTCAGAGTCTGCCAGAACTTTACTCCCAACTTCATCTCTGTTATGACATCTCACTTCTCTACTTTTATCTCTTCAGAAGCCTGCCCTTCTGCTTCTTTGTATTGGTTCCATCTTCCACTTTCATCTTTATAGCTGCTGTTCCACCCCAAATATTTGGAACCCTGTCCCCTCATGTGCATCACACTGCCTGCTTTTCCTTCCCTATTTATCTGGGCTTCATCTTTATTTAAATTGTACCATTCCTACTTCTAAGCACTTAGCTTCCTTGTTTTACAGACTCTATGAACACTCTTTCAGTATTCATCTCCATTCTTTGCTTCTATGCTGAGTGTCAAAATAAAGAAGCACAAGTCCTGTTATTTCTCTTTGCCTCAACAGTATTACGTGATCTTGCTGGATGACAGCCGATGTCTGCCCTAATAGATGGGAAGCTCCCAGCAATGGTTTCTGTAATCTGTTGTAAACCTTCTTTGACCTTTTCTTTGATACTTTTGTGCCTGCTAGGACCACTTTATCTACTTTAATCATCTTCCTGTCACCTCCCCAACCCCCTCTGCCAGCACAAGAGCCAGTTTATTTTGGAAGTAACTTCTCTCTAGTGACTGGTCTGTGCCTGTGTGTAAGGGTTGTCCCAGTTCTTTCAAAACCTAAAATTCACTTTGTCATGCTGCCTCATATGGTGCACGGCACTGGCTGGAATTCTGAAAGAGTATGCAGAACATCAGTCTTCACTGTTTTCCCATTTACTGGACTCCTAGATCATTTCTATGTACAAGGTGAAGGAACGAAGAGAGGTGTCATAGGCACCCACCATGCAGTCTTTGGTATACTTGGAACCTGCCTTGTTATCTGTGAACGTATCAATAGGTGTAACATGAAGAGACTCTTCCATCCTGATTGGAATCCAGTATTTTATTGCATAGTGGGACAATCTGTTTCCTTGTCTTTATTTACTACAGGTTCATCTTCCAACCACTCAATGTTAGGAGTGGGTTGGGATGCTCATTTGATCCAAAGTAATCTCATCCAGTATCTCCCCAGTCTGCTTGATCCCAGCCTTCTGATTCTTGAAACGTTCCTTCTTTCAGGACCTACAGTGTGGCTACACCACTAAAACGCCCGTTGATAACCTCTTACCCTTTACCTAGTGGAAAGTCAGATGTTAAGTTGGCCTTCATGGTCCTGAAAGCAGGTTTAGCTGTTCAAGGCATAGGAATGACTCCAGAGCCTGATTCAGGAGTGTGCCAAGCGCAGACAAATATAGATAATTTCTGCTCACCGCTACCTGTGTGCCTTAATGGAGTTCAGTTCCAAAGGGTCCTAAGAAACAACCTCGCTTCCCCCACCCTTGCCTGAACCATGACATTGTGAGCTCTTCAAGAATGGATTTTTCTCAAGAAAAGCCCTGATGCCTTTTCCTAGGCTGTCCCGAGAGGCTGTCCCATTAGGTTTGATGTTATAGGAGGCTGGAGGAAATGACATTATGTGGAGATGCAGAAAGAATAGTTTCTGCAGCCACAGTAAAGGATATTAAGGAACTGGTTTGCTGGACAAATGGGATGCTGTCCAGCATAACCAGGATTGGACGTTCTCATGCTGTGAATGATGAACAGTGAAACCTGAGGGATTTAGTGCTGTTAGGAAAGGTAGTGAAGGAAAGGTCTCCAAAGGCAGCATTATTTAACTCCTTCTAAACAGGAGGTGTGAAACACTGAGTTAGAGTGTGTGCTTTCCCTGAAGCACTCCTACATGTGTTATGCACCTCATAAAACTGCATAGATTCAGCAAGCTGAAGGCACTTGCTTGTACACTGACTGTATTCCTAAAGTTGTGCTTTATTTTTTTTTCTTTAAGGCAAAATCTCCAAAGAGAATGTCTGCAGGTGAACTGGGGCAGATGGAAACCACCGCAAGATCTGACGCTCCACCAGCCAAAAAACTGAAGGCACACTGGAAATGTGCTAAATGTGGATTTGCAACAGACACCAATACTGAATTTCAGGAACACATACCTCAGCACAAGACAGACAGCTCCACTTACCAGTGCTTGCTCTGTGGCTTGTGTTATACATCTAGCATCTCTCTGAACAGACACCTCTTCATTGTTCATAAAGTAAAAGACCCAGAGGAGGAGGAGGAAGAGGAGGAGGAGGAGGAGGAAGAGGAGGAGGAGCAGCAGCAAGAGGAGGAGGAGGAGGAAAGAGAGAAGTTAGATATAGAGATGAATGAGAATGGACATGAAGAGTATAATGGTGAGATGAACACTACAGTGGAGGAAGAACATAGTTTGAAATGCAAAGTGTGTGAGACTGAATCAACACTTTGTGGACACAGTCAGCTGTGTGGCACGGAGGATCCCAATAGCAGTTCTCAGAACAATCATTCAGAGTCTCTTAAGATTTAAAAGGACAGTTTTTATGTGGAATGTTGGGTGGGAATAGGGCAAATCTTTGAAATATCCTGTTGATTTCTTGGGATGGACTGTGCTTTCCATTAACTTTTATTTGTAAGGGAAATAATAATAAAAAAAAAACTGCCTCCACCTCCATAGCACTAAATCTCTGCCAGATCAGAGAAGTGAAAAGGGAAAGCAGGGCAAGGATCCCCTACTGGAACTTGTCCAACTCTTAAGGATCAAGGAGCACTTTCTGCAACCTGTTTCCTTTCCTCAATCAAGCTCTCTTCCATTGAGTGTGCACTGCCTCAGCCTGACCTCCCTTAGCCTTGCCTTTCTTTTTTCTTTTAATTTCCTTCCAGTATTTATGATTTAAAGTCCTCTTCCATTTTATAATGTGATCCAAACAACCATACATCAAGCAGATTAACCCATCAGGACTGTACAATTTTGTGCTAAAGCCACCTCCATCATGCAGCAGATGTGAGCTGGAGGTTTTCCTTAGCCTGCATTGTGCTGGTTGATTTTTCCCTAGAGGTATTCTTGTATCCCTGCAAATGTGACTAAACTGGTGTTTTCTAAATTGAAATCAGCCTGGACAAGATTTTGTGCCACCAGGATCAATTAAAAAAAATTAATAGAAATATTCCTAATTCCTTTAAATATTTTAAATGATCTGAGCTGAAGGTCACACATCACAAATTGACAAAGGCCTTGTCTATTCTGGGGATTTGCTGTTTTTTCAGAGTCTTTGGTGGTCAAGCATCAGTTTAGTTGCATTGCAACAAACCCTACTGAAGACTGGTAGAGCCAAAATAAGCTGTATCTGTCACCTGTGTAGTTTACCCCCGCTCCAAACCAGGATGAAGTTGCACAAGTACGTACTGCAGCATATGATACATTTGCCTTTCTGCATTGCGGTTACTTATGAGTACACGACTAGCCCCCAGTGACTGAAATCCACAGAATAGACAAATGGAACCTGCCCGTGGCTGTATCAGCTGGAGTGGACTCGACTATACGCTTCCAATCCTGTCAACTAAAATCTCTCTGTAACAAAAATGTACTTAATCTACTTTTGTTTGTTAGCTCCCTATTTAGGAAGCAGATACTGCAGTTATAGTGAGACCGGTCTATCTGATGACACCATGTTGTGTGGCCCCATTCTTCTATGCATAACCTAGCAAACTCGATCTCCCGCAACTGCTAGCAGCGGCAACTTGTGTGGCATAGAGAGTTCTACATGTTTGATCAGGCAAGGAAGAGCGGTTCCCACAGCGGTGCTGGTATATTTGAGAGACCACCGTACTGTAATGCTTCAGATTGCTCTAGCTCCTTTGATAGTAGATCTCCCACCTTTACTCAATTTTATAAATTACTTTGGAGACTTTTTATTTCCATGTAGTCATATTGACTCTTCCCCTTCCCCCCTTCCACACAGTTTCCTCATGCATTCTCTTCACTTGCTTTGTGTAATGTAATTACTTCTATACAGTTTTTATGTTGAGCCAGAATCTTGCTCGTTATTGTTTACTATGACAATGTTTAAATAATTTAAAAACTATTTATCTTATTGCATTTGAATTGCTCACTTTCTTGTCTCAATGTGTTTTGATACAAACAGTTTGGACTCTTTGTATTTTTTGATACTGTGTACTTTAGCCTAGGGAATGTTTTACAAGGTAGCCGATGTAGAGTACCAATAGCAGGGGTCACTCCCAAGCCATCACATATCTATTTAATCTGCAGTGGCATTTGTGCCTTGCTATAATGTTTACTTCAAAATATTTCAAATAAAAGCATCCAACAATGCATGGATGGGCTTTCATTATTTCCAGGCAACACTGGAAAGCCAGTGCAAAAGTACAAAGAGCCACTGCCTTTCAGGCATTTCTAGATATGCTCTCTATTGCTTGATTTTTTTTTTCATCCCAGAAGCTTATGTCCCAGTCTTGGCTTTTGATGATGCCTGGACACTGGACTGAAGATTTTAACAAATGTGACTGCAAGAATCAGAAGTTCCATGAAGTCCTGATTAGTTTGTGCAACAGGTCATGAAAATGTCCCAAGTACTCTCATAGCTTCAGGAGTGGAATGACTTTGCTTTCTTCTATGAGTAGATAGCAGTATTTCCATATTGGGCTCCTTATAATAAATATCCAGGATGCACCTGTAAGATAACATCATAAGAACTGAGCTGATGAAAGGTTCCTCACTGCCTGGGCCAGCTAAGACTAGAACCAATGTAAAGATGAGGCAGCCTTTGAAAAAGTGAATTGTACCTCTGCTTTTGGATCTCTGTTGGTGGGAGAATTACGTAAATCTGATATTGCCACATAACTATATTCAAGGCCAATATAAAAGCAGGTCAGGTACATATAGGATAGCATATTTGAGACTCATCTACGTTTGCAGGTAATTAACTCTCTGGGATATACCCATTTGATATACCCTCAAATGATGCTCACTGGATCCAAGTCAACAAGAATCATTTGATTAAGAAGCATCTTGTGCCATTTACAAACCCAGCTTGTGTCCATCTCCGAGTAGCAGTTCACATTTTTTCTTTGCACTTGGTTGGATGATTTCTGCCAGTGGCTCTGCAAGCTGAAGATCCCAGCAAACAATCTCCCTTGGAGAAAATCCTTTCAGTCTGCTTAATGTCCTCATTTGTTCCTCAGTTTGTATATTACAAGGAGATTTCCTGTCCTAAGAAGCAGCCTTTTCTTCAAATCGCTATTGGCTTCAGTTCTGGAGTCTGATGACTAAACTCTTGGATCAGTGTACAGCTTTCTGCTGGATTTTCTTCAGAATATATCTGTCCATGAGGAACATTCCCAATGCTGGCCTGATGATTCCAGTTACGGGCCTTGCTGTGTTCCTGTGTAACTTTAGGCAGTGTCTGTTTTATATTGCGCTGTCATTCCCCTTGTGCAGCCCCTCTTCTGCCATCTCATTAATAAATGGGGTAGCTCCACTTAAATGGAAGCAGGAGACTTGAGGGGGCTAAGGATGAAGGACCATCTCCAGTGTCATAATTAGTATTTTGAAAAAGAGGAAAAGTATGGTGGATAACAATGCTAGGCTGTGAGTCAGGCAGCTGCAAGAGCACAGCCTGAAAACTATCTTACACTCCTTCATTCTATGCTCTGTGGGCTTTCTTATTCCATCCTCTTTTTCTTTTGCCAGGACCATGACAGTGGTGGCCCCATTAGCTCTCTCTCAGCAGAAGGCCCCAGGGCACATAGTGCTCCTTATTGGAGTACACCAGTGCTTACAGGCTGCTTCAAGGAGGTGGTCAGAAACACAGCATTTCTGGGAGGGCTCACAGAGAACAGCTAGTGAATGACCTCTTAGGATCACAGGAAAATAGGGCCGGAAGGTCATCTAGTTCAGTCCCCTGCTCAAGGCAGGATCATTCCTGCCTAAACCATCCCAGCCAAGTGTCTATCCAGGGATGGAGATTCCAGAGACCTCTCTAGGTAACCTGTTCCAATGTGTGACCATCTTCATAGTCAGAAGGTTCCTCCTAATCTCCAATGTGAGTCCATTGTTCCCAGCCGTCCCCTACATCCCCAGGAAAAAGCCCATCTCCATAGTCTCTATAATCACCCTGCAGGTATTTGAAGACTGTTATCAAATCACCCCTCAGTCTTTTCCAGACTAAATAACACCCTCGTAAATTGTGTTTCCCAGGCCTCTAATCATGTTTGTTACTCTGCACTTCACTTTTTCATAGATTCATAGATTAAGGGTCGGAAGGGACCTAGTAGATCTTCTAGCCCGACCCCCCGCCAGGGCGGGAGAACAACAAAAAACCCCAAAAAGAGAAACGGGACTCAAATGAGTCCAGCCAGGTAGGCATCCAGCCTCTTCTTAAAGACCCCCAGGGTAGGGGCCAGCACCACTTCCCTTGGAAGTTGGTTCCAGCTCCTAGCCGCCCTAAC